TTTTTCCTACACATAAAGTTCATAGACGGCACTTAAGTTATGAAAAATGTTGTTCTGAAACAATGGTGGCAAGGCCTGATTTACCCACAGGCTAATAAGGCTGGAGCCTAGGGCGCAAGGATCAGGGGTGCGGCCCGGCCGGCGTGCGCGGCGCTGACCTGAGACTTACATAATAATATTTAGTATTTTTGGAAAATACGTAGGTACCTACGTTAAAATAAAATTCCTGCGTGCGCTCTCACACAAACATTTGCTTTTCACAAAAATATAATATTTTTTGTATCGAACCTTAAAGTTATAACCACTCAACCAATGACAAAATTCATGTCAATTATTTTATCGTTCTCAGTAACTGTACGACGCGACGACAATGTTTGTTACAGTCTCAGTAAGGTTATTACAACGAAAGCGCAACGTAGCATGTGATGTTGATAAAGCTCATTATTAAGTAAGCTATATGATTGATGCGTTGTATGAATTGCTACGTTGTTTAGTATGCTATACTGAGCGAATAAATCTCAATCCATTATATTTTAAGTTATAGTTTAATTTTTAAGTGACCATCATCAGATGCGGACGGTTTGTCTGAAACGTATTCAGTACATTAAGTTGTGTCGTTTGCCTATATTCGCGAGTGTATCAGTGAAACAAGTACGTAAAACCTTACGTTTCGGTGAATGTTTACTTTCACATCCAGGTGAGACATATATATGAATCCTGTGTTAAATTTTGTTACCTATTAAATTCATTATAAATGCAATGCTCGAAATTCATATCAGATTACGCTTAACACACTCAATTGCTCTATTACGTTTCCCAATGAAGTGATACATAATATTATGTGGAAAAAGTGTTTAGTACCACATATTGTCTATGCAAGATGTGTTTGGGTCGTGTTCTTTGCAAAGTCATACTTATCAGCAGTTGTAAGATACATTTCAGCTCCAGTCGGTTACCCATTATTAAAAAAAAATATTCATTCTTCTATCCAGTGGATCCCAACAGTTAAAATGGTTTCTTCCTTACTTAACAGAATTATTAGACTGCTGGACTTGTTTTTTTTTGTTTTAATTTTTTATTTGAAGTAATAATTAAGCAGACAGGTTTGATGATATTTAAAAATAATTTCTTTTGCGCTTACCTACTTACTGATAGTTTGATTCAAAGATGTTAGGTTACGTAAGCTCTCTTCTGTACTTGTAGTTTAATTAGTTGCACATGTAAGTGAATGAAAAGGTAGAACAGGTCAGGGAATGGGGCGCAAATTCATAATTAGCCTAGGGCGGTCATAACTAGGGTTGCCACCCGTACTTTATTATAAAATATTGTACGTTATATCGGGTATTTGTACTGTATACTTTATGCCAACAATAAAGCACGCGAAAATACTTTATTTAATGTGGTTTGATTGCTCAGGGATTAATTTTGAATAAAATATACAAAAAGAGATTGATAGGAAACATTTTTGCCTAAACCGCACAGACAGTATGTATAAATAATATGTCGCTCATTATTGCAACATTGTCGTGGCTGTATGTATGGCTTTGTACCATGAGCTTTTTCGCTGCGGAAAAGAACTACAGATTTTTAGTGCTAGAAGCAATGTACAATAGATATTTAAGCTTACTAATAAAGTGGAATAAAAAGTACTTTATTTTTGACACAATGTACTTGTTTTTCTACTTTAATATCCAATGTACTTTATTTGGACAAAAAAAAAGGTGGCACCCTAGTCATAACTCTAAATCAGGCACTGAATGGTGGGCAGTTTACCAGTTCATCTTCTAACTAAGATTATGTTTGAAAGCACCATTAGCCGATAGACTTTGTTTTTGGGCTGCGTGAGAAAGTTAAGAGCTGTTGCAATCTATATTTTTATGATTGCCCAGTGTTTTTCATTTTGTGTCCTCTCCTCATCTATAGATTCAATTCTTAATGCTCATCAATTCTCAAATGCGATGTCGTCATTCATAGTCCTCTTGTAATGAAATAGTGGAGCTATTAATCCAGTGTACGGGCCATTAATATGGGGTAATGTTGCCTTTTATGACTTTTATAAAGCAGTTAGTGTCCGGTTGGCTTTTTGTGGTAAGTAAAGTCATCCGCTTTCAATTGAATCGATTCACAGTCTATGTGTTTCTACGATTGGTTTTCGATAGCAAAGGATGAAGAGTTTCATACCATTTTAAATGATTTTATACTATCGTTACTTGTAAATTTCTTTATTTTTTAAAGATGTGATATTTGTTTCTTAGGCTTTCACGCACATCACTCATTAAATAAAACAGTTTTTACGGGTTATATGCACTAAATTTATTTATTTATTGATGTTTCGCATCCTTTTCAGGAATGCGTGGTCAGAATATTTTTTTATTTAAAGTACGAACTAACGAAAAAGTTGTATACAGGTGTAAAAAAACCGATAACGAAGTCAAAGGCCACGTATTTTCCACATCATGACGATCATTTTTTTCTTCTGAACCATACCTGGGAAATTTATGGTTATGGAGATATTGAAGGTCAAAAGCAAAATATTTTTTTCAAGATTTATACATTAGAAACTTTTTTATCGACGCACTTAGCCACACGCACACACGTACACACAGGCACATTCTTTGCGTAGCGCCACAGTAGCACGCCGCGCTATACATTGCGTACTGGAAAAAAAGTATTTTTTTAACTTAAAAATATAATTTTTTCCCACTTATAATATTTTGTAATATGACTTGTTTGGGTGTTCAGAATGCGTAGTTTAAGTCTTTGTCATAGGTTTTTTTACACCCTGTATAGGAGTGATTTATAGTACTGTGATCTTTTATAAAATGCTTATACTGTGACAAGGCAAACTTTAGCTTGGTTGTGTACTTGTCCGAGTGTTGTCTAATTTCAACTGTTTGAAACCTATAATGCTATGCCATTCCGTATGGATGTGTATCTGATAGATCCGGGCAGCAAATTTTATCAACGTTAAATAAAAATCATCTATCTTATAATCGATAACAAAATTCAACGACCAAAAGGTGAAAGCTTAAAGCTACGTAGGTAATTACAGATAACGCATATTAACATACATGTATAACCAAATTCCCGTTCAAATTTCTTATTGCTGAGATAATTAGCTAAGAATTACTGTAATAAAAGATACACGTGCAATGTTTTATGTTTTCCGATCACTAAGCTATAAAAAAGCCATGAATCTTGAAACGTAATACTTATGGGCGCATCATAATGTTATCTGTTTCCTGTTAAGTTTAATATTTCGTATAATAAGAAACTGTTTTGCATTCATAAATTACGTTGTAAGAGATCGTGTGGAATCTTAGATAAGTCCATTTAGTGACTTTATTGCATAGGGAGATACTTAAAGTATTTTTCTTGTTTTTAACTAGTAGGAACTTAGACATACAGGTTGTCTTCCTCTTTTCGTGGAACTTCATACATTTTGTATTTTCATCCGTGCGTCTTTTCTCTTGCTATGTACAGTATAAAGAGCCTCGCTTGGTATTAATCTCAAAGACAAACTAGAAATTAAGCAAATCACCCACACAGGACCTACAGGCCGTGCCAAAATACCAGCGCTGCTGTGACACGTTTTGTGGCTTGTTGCGGCAGCATTATGCTGAGGCAGGTTCTTGATTGACCACAAATGACACTTTTTTGTATCGAATAAAAAATGAAAAACTCGCGTCAGGACACGTGGTCTGATCGAAAATTCGTAAGACGAAAACTTCTTTAGCGGTGTTGTTTACTTTTATTGTAATGGGTAAAAAATGTTAAACTCGCGTCAGGACACGTGACCTGATCGAAAATTCGTAAGGCGAAAACATTTTTGGCGGCGTTGTACACTTATTTTGTAATGTGTAAAAATTTTAAACTCGCGTGTGGATACGTGGTGACCTGATCGAAAATTCGTAAAACGGATGGAGAGGAAGTATACCCCTCTCTTTCTACGGTGCGGCGAAAATGTATGCCTGCGCCTGCTGTTTCGTTTAGGCGGCGCAAGGAGCTTGCGCGAATGTTCGTGTGTGTTTATGTTACAGCGTGCCACGCGCATCCATGGATGGTGACAGCTGATGGCTCCACCGTCTGTGTAGTGGCCACACTGCTGTGTATTTGTAAAATTCGTGTATATAAAGTGTTACTGATAATTCGTGCAAAATTATTCCCTAACCACTCCAAAATGTCAAAATTGCACAACGTTAATATTCTAGTTTTCACTTCTGCCGGCACTCCCGGAGTGCAACCCTTCGTTTTTTTTTCTTTACTGTATTCATTAAGTATAATTTTCATTTTTTTTGTATATACTTTTGTGATGTAATGTGGTCAATAAAATGTTTCTCTCTCTCTCTCTCTCATAGTTGCCTCGTTTCCAGTGTAGCAAGTTGAACTATCCACTGTGATAAACGTTACTATTGGAAACAATCAAGGCTTTTTTCAGTGTGGTTACGCAATACTTTTAGTCTTTTCTACCATACGTTATGGCTTTGGTACTAAATGCGCTAAAATTTGAGTTCTTTTGAAATAGTTCTATCGTAATGCATTAACGGGCTGTGTCTATAGAGGCTAGACAATATCTTGAATGGCGAAAACTTGTTGTTTTTTTTTGAAGGCGCGTACTTTATTTTCAATGTTTGAACACTCATTTTAACGCATATTGGGACCAAAGTCACCTGTTACTAGTGTTGCCAGGTCCGATTTGTTTTAAATCGGTACATGAGGTCAAAATAATCGGGACTTAGGGTTGCAGGTCGCGATAGTAAACAAAAAACAAGGGTTTTTTAAGTCTGGGTTTAATTTATTGTGTTTTTAACTACTAGTAAAAGTATAATATTATGTATATTAATTACCTAAATTTATTTTTTTGTACAAATCGGGAAGCGTCCTCAGACCTCTGAAAATCGGGACTTCCCGCCAAAAAACCTGGCAACACTACCTGTTACGTAGGTGTGGGATAAGTATTAAAGAAATCCTGGTAAATAAAAGGACCTTTTCATTTCCAGAAATAGTGGAGGAGCAGCAATGCCACGACTTCAGGTTCCGGCTCATGTGTCGGGACTTGGACTCCCACATAGCCGTTTTAGAAGCCTGGTACACGTCCATAGAGGATTACCAGAGAGAAAACATGACCCAACCTCCACAAAGGCTCACAGTCAAAAAAGCCGAGAACGATTCGGAACTCAACCGAGTTTACAAGTATTCTAGTCCGAAACACAATGGAGTTTACGAACTTACGAATATCACGTATGAGAACGCTAGTGTTGTGAATAACTCACTGGAGTGGAGTGATCTGGTGAATGACACTTTGGATATGAGTGTGGAGTTTGTGAATACTACTGAGAGTGGTGTTTGTGGTGTGACGACCTTCGCGAGGAGCTACGGAAGTTGGCGGGAAGGTGACAAAAGAAGAAGGGCTTTGAAAAGGAACTTCTCTGTAAATTTGAGATCTCCAGTCAGCTATCGGTAAGTTAACCATTTTTTTCCTTTTTTGGAAAGTAACCCAGTGAATTTACTGGTTATATTTAGGGGTTATATCCGTTTAACCGTTTTCTGATAAGCGCGAGCGTATTCCAGATGCGAAGATTCTGGTGCAGTATAGATACATATCTGGTGTGGCGCTATACGTATAGAACCCTCAGATTCGAGTGATATAGAGGCTCCAGACGGGAGGAAACTCCCCCCGTGGGGAGATGCCATCCGCCTGGAATACCTCTAGAGGCACTCGCCAATTCTCGGCTTGAGGTCGCCTTGGCATCGCCGTCCCCAAACCTTGTTGCAAAGGTCATCTGCGACAAGCAGCATACACACTAAAGATGAAATATATACATATAGCCACTAGAATCCAAATATTGTTTCAGATTTATAGAGCCCCCTTACTGCGTAGTCATATTAGTGGCGACATTTGTCTTATAAGTTAAAAAAAAAAGTGTTCTTTAAGGATTGTAGTCATCATCATCAGCCTTTTAACCCTTCTGCAGGTGCACAGTCCTTCCCTATAAATGGATTAAGGAGATTAGGCCGTGACTCACCACGAGAACCCATCAGTGCGGATTGGTGGCTGCTAACGACTGCACATGCAGCCAGGAACAACGGCTTAATGTGCTTTCCGAAGCACAGAGGAGCTCGGAATAATAAGTTTTTGGTCACCCATACAATGCTCGGCCATTGCGAAAGTTGCTTAACTTCCACGATCGCAGGACTAACGCGCTTACCACCTGCGCCATCGAGCGAGCCCTTCATAACAAAAGACTGTAGCGGTAATATAAAATTATGTCTGTTTTAACAAGAAGGTTTGTATTTTAAAATTACTCATAGTAATAAATCACATGAGACAGAATGAAGTAAACAATGTAGCTGTCAATTAAAATTTTAAAGATGTTGAATTATTGTGTGTATCCTTAATAGTTTTATTAGATTCTTTAAATTGGATCTGATAAACTCTTTTGTTAAAATTAAGCAATAGACGAGTAAAATTCTACTTATAAAATATTATGTTAAGCCTATTAAGCCGCATCAGCTTATTATGTTCTTACTTAAATCAGACATCATTATCCAGATAATATCCATGCCCGGAGGAAAAGTCGTTTCGTTATTCGACAGTAAATTATAAAGCCACTATTGGAATATTTTATGGCCGTTAAAAAGTTAGTTAATTACTTTTGTAGCGTGTTGTTGGCTACCGAAGTATTTTATGGAAGCTGTTTGAGTTCAATCAGCAACGATTAGTTGGAAGTTGTTCCGAGATTCATAGAGGAAATTAATTACAGTTATTCAGTTCTTTTTCGATTCACGTTTTATTTAAATACAGGGTGTAAAAAACCAATAACGAAGTCGAAGGCCACGTATTTTCCACATCATGACGATCATTTTTTTCTTCTGAACCATACCTGGGAAATTTATGGTTATGGAGATATTGAAGGTTAAAGCCAAAATATTTTTTTCAAGATTTATACATTAATATTTTTAAAACGTTATTTAGAAACTTTTATCGACGCACTTACACACACGTACACACAGGCACATTTTTTGCGTATACACTGCGTAATGGAAAAAAAATGTTTTTTTTAACTTAAAAATATAATTTTTTCCCATGTATAATATTTTGTAATATGACTTGTTTGGGTGTACAGAATGCATAGTTTAAGTCTTTGCCATAGTTTTTTTTACAACCTGTATTTGTGTTAGAAATTATATTTTGGACAATGTTAAAGTAAACCTTAAATTAAAGGAAGTCCACTTAGTTATTATTTTATTTTTCAAGTATTTAATAATTATAATAATGTTTATTCGTGAAACCTTACAAGTACTATAAACAATAACATATCTTAAAATAAACTAGGAATGGTTTGCTATCTTATAAGTAGGACCCCTGACTTTCATGCTAGGTAAGACCTGTATTATGAAAGGCAGTGATTCGATTCGAAACACCGGATGATTACAAAACGTTATTGATTAATGTGTGTGTGTGACTGTGTATGTGTTACTGCTAGATGTTAAAATCTACTTAATTCCATTTTTTGTTATATATAAAAGGGTATTATTTTCGTGTTATCGATTCCTTTTTTTTAGGTAAATATATTTTTTCTGATAAAGTACATACAGGGTGGTCCAACTAGTGACGTCGACAATTTTTTTTAGATTCGTCGCACCTGTGGGTATCCGAAAATACCCCATGTATGTTCCGCGATTTTTCTTCGTTTTTGAGTTATTTTTTTGTGTATTTTTAATGATTTCTGCCAGCTAGGTTTCAAAAATTCGTATCTTTTTTCGTAGTAGGTATATTGTGGTAATTTTTTTTTGTGACATAATTGTTGTTTTAGTACAAAAAAACTCAGCTTCCTGAAATTACTTAAAGTAACTCAAAAAAGGCTTGATTGATTGGATCTTTACTTTTAAGTAGAATTTACTGAAACGTTCAACTTCAATTTAAAAATATAAAAAGGAGTTTCCGTAGCTTCTGGCAAAATTAAAAACTCCGCATGCTTCTAAACTACCAAAATCATTTAAAAAAATGAACTTAATCAGCCTATTTTTGTTGTAATTGGCTTTTGAAGGCGGATAGGCTAAAAATCAATGAAACACGATTAAAGCATTAAACATTATTTTATCTACTTTTTTATTGTTATGGTAAATTAAAGTTATAAATGTAATTTCAAATTTAATTTAATTGAAATTCCCGTAAAATCACTTTTGCATGTGGAATTTTATAATAATTTCGGTTTCACCACTAAGATTTAAAATATGAGCAAGACTAAAGATTAAAATGGCTAGATGGGAAATTACCTGTTTTTGATACACATAAAAAGCACAAATTGTGGAAAATGACTACTTATTACAGTATATTTTCAAAACTCCTTACTCCAACGTGAATACACAATTGACAACACCTTAAAAAGTTATGTTTTAACTGTCTGAAGCTTCTTGAATATTCTTGCTTTATTTTTCTTTCCGCTTCTGTAAGTTTTTGTCTCAATTCTTGTTCGTATTTTAAATCTTAGTGGTGAAACCGAAATTATTGTAAAATTGCACATGCTAAAGTTTTATTACGGGAATTGCAATAAAGTTTAATTTGAAATAACATTTTTAAGTTAAATTTACCATAACAATGATAAAAAGTAGATAAAATAATATTTAACGCTTTTTTCGGATACCCCCCCAGGTGCGAGGAATCTAAAAAAAGGACACCAGGCATTTTGTGCCATAGTTGTATACTTTTTTATTTTTTTTTTATCTGTGTTTCATAATTGGGTAACGTAGTCTGGCAATATTTGTCATCAACAGCTAGCTGTCAATGTCAAATACGTAGGTTTATCATCAAAAGGGTTTCTATATCAAAAAATATTAATCATTAAATAACTTCTTTCCACGATTCACTAAAATTAAGGCAAAAGTAGTTTTATGTAGCAAATAATTATGGCTTTATTTTGAGACCAAATTCAACTGTATACAAGTTTAGCATTTTTTCTGTGAAAAGTGCCGGGTCTCCTTTGTTGACGTCACTAGTTGGACCAGCCTGTATAAGAATGATTTATTTATTATAACATAATTATCACTGTTATTGCCATAGTACTAACTTAAAATAAATTACTCTCATGTAAACAGAACTAGCATGTTCCAAGCCAGGTCAGCAAGCCAGGACAATTTAGTAGAGAACTAGCTTAAAAAACTATCCTCGTGTAGCCCGGGTATTAGAGAGCGCGTAGATATATTTTGAAAAAATAAAAAGAAAAAAATATTTCTTTGCGGATGCATAATCTCAATCTTTGTCTGAAGTAGCTGATAAAAATTCTCAGGTACCACAAAATTCACAATTATTGTTCTTAGGAAAATTAACCTAAGTACCTTTGGAATTTACAAATTAAACTTAATACCCTGACATTTAAACATAATTTTAATAACATTTCTCGTTTTGCGAAATCCTTACTTAATTTTATGAATTTCGCAACGCATTAACCTGGGAATTCTTATCTTAATAGCCATTAAGCTGTTTGTTAAACCTCTTCAAATACTATGAGCGCCCTATCTAAGCACAATTTAATGTAAACGCACTTAAAGTGTTACGACTTATTACCTACACATATACGGGTACTATACAAATTTTCACTGTAACTAAAATTTTTACTAAAGCGGGTTTAAATATTACCAAATCACAGCATTTACGTGAAATCTTAGTTATAAGCAAAATGTAAGGAATTCCTCAAAGTAGGTGCAAAAGAGCAACTTAAAAAATGAGGAGAGATAAACTCCAACTCAAACCCTTTATTTGCAAACTAAGTATTAAATATGGTTCTTAAACATGATACATAACATGTTATGACTTGGTCACCTTGAACAGGTCCTCGTATAACAAATAATTAAACATTAATTATATATATATTTTTTAAGCATGTAACTGCTTGATGTTTAAATCTAAAGCAGACGGGACTTAAACCTTACTTACTTCGCTATCCGGGCGAATGCACCAATTGACCAATTATGCTACCGCGGCCCTGATGGCCGCGTCGAAATTCTTCTAGCCATTCTTAAGCTGCAAGCAGCGCCATCTCTCCGCATTGTAAGTAACCCACAATGTGAAATGAATACTTTTACAAGTATTAAACATTTGAAAGAAGAAATAGCAATTATTCTCAGGATCCTCCCCTAAACGAGCTCACCGACGAAAACGTCTATTGTCAGGCATTCGCCGACGATAAAGTCTTTGTGGTAGATGGAGGAGACCCTAAGGCGGTGGAGGAAAAGGCCAACATAGGAGTCTGCCTGGTCAGGAGATGGGGCGCGTCGAATAAGTTTAACTTTGCGGCACAAAAGACCAAGGCCATGATTATAACTAAAAAGCTCAAATTCGACGCGCCGGTACTGACCATGGGGGGGATAGATATAGAATTAGTCAAAGAAATAAAAATGCTAGGCCTAAAAATGGATAATAAGCTCACCTTCAACGAACACATTAAATACGTTTGCGG